CTATTGTTGTAAATAACACAGTCAATTGAACTAAACTATGCATGCCTATTTAAATATGGCTTGTGTATATCGTGTGTATATATATATATATTATTCATACCTTCCGTGTATAGGACGCAAGCAGATTTTGACATCAAATTTTGGGGTAAAAAAGTGCGTCTTATACACCGAAAAATGTGGTAATCAAAACGTCTAACTGTGTTGGTTAATTCTAGGGACTTCTATATTTTATCTGATTTGGCAAGTGATTTACATGACCTGCATGATCACATTGTAAATATGTGAAAATACACAGAACTGCAATTATATTATTATTGCCATTATTATTTTTAATTATTCTACCCACAGTGATTCAAAGAAGTGGAGAATGGATTGGAAAAACTAATGACACAAGAAGAAGCTTCACTCGTCTAGAAAGTTAGTTGCTGATGATAAATTTAAACAGTTATTTTCTGTTACAGCTGAAGAAATGGCTTTTCCAATGTTAGGCTTGAGTTTGAATATAAAATCGTTGGAACAAGTTATGCTATTGCTTTGTAGCACCACTTTAGGAAGTGACAAACTAAAACTAGAAAGTTAGTTGTTGATACTAAATCTAAACAGTTATTTTCTGTTACAGCTGAAGAAATGGTTTTTCCAATGTTAGGCTTGAGTTTGAATATAAAATCGTTGGAACAAGTTATGCTATTGCTTTATAGCACCACCTTAGGAAGTGACAAACTAAAACTAAAAACACTCATAATGGCATTTGAATGTAGGTAGCGCATTAGGAATAAGTTTCAATCTTTTGTTACGTATGTACTGAGGGACTACTAATGTGAATCATTCTACTAATTTGAAGGTAATAAACTTCTAATGTCTTGTGCATATAGTGTTCTTATGCTCACTATCTCTTATAAAGGGAGATCCATGTTACACATCGAGTTAAACACTGCTACATTTACTGACGTTTCTTTAAGTACAAAATTAATCATTATTAATAACAATACTGGAATGGAGCTACTAAATTATAACTTGTATATATATATTATTTTACTTTAACTTTAGTTATAAAACTGTTTTATTTATATCTCAGTATTTTATTGAAAACAATGCCTCGAAACCATTCCAACACGAGGAGATACATTCAAACATTTAGCGTCTTATATTACACAAAGCTACCTATAAAACTCGTCCTAAACGATCCACTTAATAACGTAAGAACAAGAAACTGTGTAATAAAGGAGAACAAAGTCTATACTACAAGTTTCTTGCTGTTGTCAAGTGTCATGTACACGACAGTGTTGTAAAAGAGACGTATCCGGTTTAATAAGTCAGTCAGAGATAGCAGATATTGGATTTTACAAACAAATCAAACCAATGAGGGAAATTTAACACAGCAAACCAAAATATTCTTTACATTCATACAGTAACTTGACACAACATAAAGCTTAGATTTAAAAACATGATATTACACCAAGGTAACGTCTAATATTACCGCTTCCTTACATATTCGGCTATTCTAAATAATATTTCAAGACAAACTGTGAACTTAAAATATACAAAAAACAGTCTCCTCGTACGATCTAAATATAATATTTCGGTTCTGAAAAGTTTATCTTTATACAACTTCAAGTATTTGGTGAATCATAGTAACTTGTCTACCTAAAAATAGGAACATAATTTTTACATGTATCAGTTCCATTTTTCTTTTTATTTCTTGATACAAGGTTTGCCTTGAGAAAACAAAATGTTAATTGAAAATAAACTTGTATGGATGTTCAATGTTCTTATAACTGGACGTATGTTATTTGCTAACCTCAATACTACCTAAAAACGTTTTTTTTATAATGTACGTATTTAAAAAATAAACAAAAGAATGTGATTCATTACTTGACTTTAGCCTAAAGATAACTAGAAACATCTTTTAATCTTACATTATGGCAACAAGCCAACTCCTACATAAAGCTCTCACCAAGTAACAAAACACATTCTCAATTTGTGAAGTCTGATGACGACTAAAAGAAATAAACACAAGATACTACCAACAAAGCCAAGCACTGCAGAGGCAGGGGTAGCTGAGAGGCTAAGGAAAGCCCCCCTATCTTCTTGAAAAAAGTTCTGGTGAAAACACTCTGGAGAAGATGCCGACTGAAAGCTGCTTTAGCACCTGCTGCGGCCTTGGCTTTGAGTCGCCTGCTCAGCCTTCTGCTGAAGGGTTTTATTTCCATGGACCGATTAGTCATTGGGATACTTATGCAGAGTCCTTCTTTTCGACCAAAGAAAGAGCACACAAACGACGAAATGTTTTGGTTTGCTTTTTTTAGCGTCCAGTCAAAATGTGTACATTCACTTACCACAGAATCAAACTCACGTACACAAGTTCAGTGTTTCTCATAACGTAGGCTTCCAACTCTTTATATTCCACACAACGATTAGACTTTGGATAATCAAATATTTTTTATTTATTTTACTTAGTTACAAAATATATATATATATATATATAACATATTTACAATGAATTTTACTTTTTGGACAACTTATTCTGTGGAAGTCGCAATTAACTGATTCAACGCTGTATTCCAACCTCGTAACTGATGGACACAATTCTGTATCCCAAATCCGGTGTTGATCAAACACTCGCTGGTTGAACCACGTACACGTGCTCGTTTGATATCGATTGTGGTGAAAAGACTGCTCAAGACTGTGTCAGTTTTCCATCAACAGGTGGCGTGGTGTCATTAGTCATCAAGCAAACCACGTGACATCCGACTATAAGAAAAAAGGGGAAATAAGCATCAGAAAACTATGATAGTATGACATATCAACTTTGAATAATTTCACAAGACTATTAAAAATGGAGGGCGAAAAGTATAGCACTAAAATATATTTAGCCTCTGGAGAAGAAACCCATTACCAGAACACTACCAGCACCTAGTACTCTGAGATGATTATACAAAACAACGACTGCAAATTTTAATGTTATTGAATTAGCTGAAAAAACTGTAAATAAACAAACCGATTCATGTTCTTAATCTACCTACATAGCCAGAATGACTACTGCAAACATTTAATATTCACAACTGAATGGAAAAGTTACAAATAGTATACATTACTACCTGACAGTAGTAGTTGAACGGATAATTTAACATGCATAAATTTGCTAAAATTCAAAACGTTTTAAATAAAAACGTTTATACGCTTATCAGCTCTTAAACTAACTATTCTTTATTTACAAGCATTTATTACAAAAAAGGTCATCTACTAATTACTGCACATAAAAATATTCTATTTTAGCGTCGTATTTTAAAATTTTGTATTCTAAGAGATTATTTACGCTACAAAATTAGTTATATTTTCATTTTAAAATCACATGTTTTCTTTAAAGTATTGTTCTTGCTTGCTTACTCAGTATTTTATGAACTATACAATAAGAAACAAGTCGCCTGATAAGATGACACAGGTGAACATGAATGTTTGTCATAGTTTCTGCATAAAATTGCACAATAAAAATATATACTATTAAGGCAAGGATGTGTAACAGGGTGATTAGAAGAATGAACACACTGTCTTGCGAGAAATATCTGGATACACCCAGAATGTTTTTAAAAGGAACATAAAGAGTATAAATAACATAGACAACAAAGACGAGTCAATATAGATGCCAAAAATGTCTCGAATCATTTCAATTTTACTGAGAAGAAATTTTAGACTGCTCTAATCGGGAAAAATATAAACAAGAACTAGTCACAACACTTCCCAACGCGCAATCTACTATACGTGAGATCGATCGTTTAATTGTAACACGAACTTCATCGTTCAGTTATCTAAGACATACACAAACAAAACTCTCTTAGACTAAAAGTGATAACCATGCATGACCACCGTTCAGTTGTCATTATTGTGAAAATAAGTCAGAATTTATCTTTAAACAAATTCATAAGACTATTTATGCCAGGTAACCACATGTGAGATATATACATCCCTTTCCACACTTTGAAAGTCTATAATATGCAAACCACACATCAACTGGCCAAGCTTTCGAAACAATAATATAGAGGTATGTAACAGATAGATACATGTTGTAACATAATTGGGAGCATATCAAGCATAATACCACCAGTTATTCAGGCCGATGACCGCTACTAGAACCATCCCCACTGAAGGCAAAACATCCTAAATCTTCCTTTAAAAGATCAATAATAGCAATATAGAATACAGAACACGTTTTATTATAAGTATTTGAAAAAGAAATGATATAGCGGCCTCAGAAATATACCAGGCGATAACTTACGTTATTTTCAACGCCAACAGAAATGAACAAACTGATGTACTAGAAAACACACACATTAATCTGGAGATTTGAGCTACCGTCTTATATACTCATCAACGTTTCTGAACTTAACTTACGCTCAACTTACATGTTTTTTGTTGTTGTTTTTTTCAAATTGACAGAATTTTTTCCTAACGCAATGTAACTATTCAAATTCATAGAACTCAGATGACATCGAGAAGAAACGTTACAATACCTAAATGAGAAAGTTATTTAGCGATATTAACTCTTTCACTGCCATAGGCACGTATATTTTCTACTACCATGAAAGAAAGAGTATTCTCATGGTAAACTTCCCACAGATTACCATTATCACGTTTCAGATAAGTAACGAAGTATTAAAACACGTACCTGTGTTTTTTATTGTGTATCTGAAACCACACCCAGAATTTGGAAGAGTTGTTGATATATAAGCAGGACAGTAAACTAATAAAGAGAACTGCCAAACTGTTGTCATTATCTGATTAAATAGTAGAGTGATAATATTTATAGATGTAATTAGAAATTATGTCATCTTCGTTAAAAGTGATGGGAAGAGAGACGAATTACAAAAACTGAGTGGTTAATACAAGTTACACGACAATGTTATTATTTTTCACCAATATTTTCATACATGCTTTTCAACAAAGTAATTTTTCAAATATAACTTGTAAATCTGCACAAAACAGACTTAGTTTTACCCGAAATACAAGTACAGGTAATGCATTTTATACAATTAAATATGTCTATCATCAAATGGTTTAACATCAGATATATATGGCGACGGTTGAAACTTTGTCGTAGTTTTTCTCAATCTTCCTCTCATTCAATTTAATTATGCATGAAATTTACTTCTCGCAAGAGTTTATCAATAGAAAATTAAATAAATATGACGTACTTTATATGGAGCGAAGGTTAATAGTGCCACATTCAGTATCATACATGTTAAGATTCGTTATTTGCATAACTTGCAGCAAACTAAATACAGGAACACACACAAAAATTAAAAATGTATACTTGATTAGCAAACAAAACTGCACTGGTAGGCCAGTTGAAATTATCAAGTCAATGGCAGCAAAACAACTGAATCAATGTTAATTTAAAAATGAGATTAACAGCCTCAGCTCTGGCGGAGTTCATGTAAATTGACGGAGAGAAAAAAATGTCTGCATACACCGAGAAAAGTAGGTATAAACAATCTCTAGCGGAGGTACCCTCATGAATTAATCATGATCGAGGTCTGAATATTCAATTTCTGAAGAAACCCGGTTTCTCAGATTCATCTTGAAGGGATCAAGTAGAATTATTTAATTTGTTTTTGTTCCGAGTTTATTTTTACCTAGATGCTGGTTAACTGACTTCATATTTGAGAACAAGGCTTTATATCAGGACCAGATTTATCACCTAATCATCACGTTTCTTTTAAACTTTCGCAGCACAGAGTCATTAAGTAACAACGATAGTTAATGAGACTTCAGTCTCATATTTGATAATAACTAGTATTTTGTACGTTAACTTGTACTATTTATTATTCTGTGATCAGATTTCTACGAAAGTTGATGCAGTATCTATTTAAACAAAGAAAAATGTTTTCTATCAATCATATACACCTATATAAAAACCGTGTGCGATTTACCAAACTCAACGTTCCAAAATGAAAAGTATCAAACTTATTTAGATACTATATCCGATCACTTGGTTTACGAAACGGTGACTCAAGTTGCACTTCACAATGTGACACAACAAAAAATATCATTCGATTTTCACGACTTACTCATTATAAGTTCCCAACTCGTGTGACTAATCCCTACACTTCAGACATCCTCCTCGCGCCTACATATACATTCTTTCATGTAACAGGCTTTAAATCCACCAAAAAACCAATACTTATACTTATCTTCATGGAATGTTCGTATATTTTTAGCAGACACAACGGATGTCTTTAAGCATGCTCTAATACTGTAAATGATTAATATTGTAATATAACGTAAAAATATTCGTAAAAAGCTCAAGGAAATGAATTGCATATTTAGTCAGCAACAGCCATAATAGAATAAACATTTCCAAACCATCCCACGTTACTGGTTTTCCACCAATATCACCACATAAAAACATAAAACAAAGCAATAAAAATAACCAGAAGTAAAAAGATTGAAACAATCGAATTCTCAAACCAGTATTTTTCATATTTTGTTCTAGTCAATGTGCCCTTAATATTATATCACCAGAAAAAAACTGAAAACTAAACTATTTATAACTTGGAGATCTTAGCGCAAGGAAGAAACAGTGCTGACAAAAGTATTCACACTTTCACTCCACAATTAATAGATGGCACATCAGAAATATTTAGACATTATAATAGTTTCATGAAATGTTACTAATTTATAACAGAAAATGGAAACATATATAAGGGAGCATTACTCTTCTATACTGCTTTAAGAGAAAACAACTCCGTTTCGCTATGTTCTTCCTAACTACACTGTCTCTCCATCACCGTAACTAATCTACGTAAATAACACTCACCACACGGCGTTGCGAAACGTCTTCTATTAACCTACGATTATATTTAGAATATGTAATTCAATGAAACCCACACATCATTAAAACATTTTTTTCGTGATGAGAATATTGCGATTACGGCTCACGCAACTACTTGAAGTTGTTTCATAATTTTTGCGAATTATAAAAATGCCAAATTACAGCAAAATAGTTAAAAGGAATTCATTTCGTGAGATACACAGAATTATTTCTATCTGAGCCAGCCATTCATTCAATATTAACCTAAAAACTAGAGAGATTTAAGTTTCATTCTCAAATAACCCGTGTTTACTTCACGCATTTTCTAATGAATATATTACTACATTCAGTGTATGTTCAAATTGTGGAGACAAATGCAAAACGAATCGTCATAAAAAAAAAAAATGACACTCTGTTTTTCAGTTGCTAACATGTAAGATTTATTCAACGCGATCCTAGCAGAGATGTTTATGTGATTTCCTAGCACTTTCAAATATTAAAACGCTTTCAGTTTTGTGCGATCGTCTGCTTGTCCGATGTAAAGGATATTAACTTTACTCGATAAATCTTCATTTCAGAAACGAGGAACAGTGATATGCTAATAAACTGTACACAGTGAATACATAATACGTATATAACTCAGAACAGTTACCAAGTCTTCTCGAGCTACTTGCTATTTAATAATAAGGACCGGAAACAACTTTTCAGTGCATATAACTAGTTGAAAGCAGACTAATAGACCTTTTAAATTATTCATGGAATCTATAATGCTTGCTGGAATTTAATAAAAAATGTAAGATCATATCAAAACATAAGGTGGCGCTTTAGAGTTTCTAAGAAAATGCATGCTATTTCGCAAATGGCACAGTGTTTTACGTATTTCAAGTTATAACACGTCTCTCATAATACTATACAATTTGAATATGCGTCTTAATGACAACCT